TTGAAAATGCTAGGAAACTACTTCAACTATAAACTGTGCTGCAGAGGAATAGTGCGCACCACGTTAATGACACGTAAATATAAAATAATGCGCCGTATGTCACCCACACTCCAACCATTCTCGCGTATTTAATACTAGAACAGAAGACGTAGAGTAAACACTTCGTGCGACATGTTTCAGCGCTGGTGCAACATAAATGTTTCAATAAAATTACATACATACAAAAATGACAAAACTACATTTTCACGGAATTAATTCTCTATGCCACTTCCTAGGTCCTAAAAAGATGCGGGAAATTCTGAAAGCAAACATTTCCAGAAACTGCCCGTGTTGCAGCAGTGCGGGGGACGGACGGCCTAGGCTAATCTAATTCCGGCGCCACAAACTCTGCTCCCCGCACCACTCGTCGCTTGTGAGCGCAGGCCGTAATTGGACGTTTATTGGAGGACCGGCACGTTAATTAACCGACCATTCGACCCGAATTTCGCACTGATACACTCGGCGCACAAACACCACACGTCGCGCGCTCGTCTCCTGAGAGCATTTAGCATGTGCGCGAGTGCGGCACCGACAACTTGGGAGGTGAAAATTTCAGCCGCCAAGGAATACGAGCGCTCACCTGGACAGGGGCGCGTGCAATTTAATTAATCACGAAATTGTGGGAGCAAAACGAACGCAAACACGCGCCGCAGCTGTTTGCGTCTTTTAATCAATTTAAATTAGACAAGTTTTCATAAGTGCTGAATCAAAACAAGTGCAAACAAGTGCGTTTCATGTCGCGGTGGAGTGAAAAGGCAAATTTAAAAACACGGTGCGCTATTTTGAGTTCGCCGAATCATACATTTGAAAAGTTTTATGTAAACTAGACCAGTCGCTAAAGTGTACCAAAGGTATAAAAGTTGAGTCGAAGATTTATGTACACGTCGCACATCTGCCCGTAATTTATAAAATCCGTAATGTTTGAATTATTCTCTTCTATGTTGGTATTGTTGGCAATGTTTGTAATAACGTACGAATAGCGAGCTGGTGTGCGGTCACAACCTTGAGCGGGAAAATTGAAGACAATGCTCTTTTTGTTCTGCGTCGGTGTGAGTGTAAGCAGAATGGTAAGTGTATAGCGCACAAAACTATAACAACAATGCAAACGCACACATTAGTTCGTGTTACGAATGTTTCGTGTTCGACGCGTGCGTTTCCACGGCTGGCGGAGAAGCGCGCGCGCGCGTTGGAATAATAGCAAACGCAGACGAAGACGTCGTTGGGCGGTCGTCGTTCGACCAGATGAAGGAGTTCGTTCACCGGGTCGCGGTTCAGAGCGTCCGCGAACCATGCCTCGCTGGTGTGCCCAGCCAAAGGCTCGCATGTCGGCAGCGCAATTTCCTCGAGCAATGCAAAATGCAACACAAACGCACACACATTCAAATCCAAAAATTCAAAAGATCAAACATTGACTTAAGTTCACTTGCATGTTGATCTTGAACTTAAGTCACAACAGCAACACTATTAAAAAAACCAAATCGACAATTTGCAAATGGCATCAATTTCGTTTCGTTCCACACAGTAAAAGATTAAAACATGCGGTTATGGTACAGCGAAAAAAACGCACATGTGGTTGCGCAATGACGACAAACTCGTCTATGTCGTGGAGCGTGTTAAATTCATAATAAAGTTCTCACAATACGCATGGCGTACGACGTCCGTATAATTTATACAAGCAAGAAGTCCAAGCTCAAACACACGACATCCATATCTGTATGGCACGCCATGCCTCGCGCATTCTTCAATACTTGCTTCAAAGCAAAAAACCAAGCAACCCCGTATCCATCGTTCCATAGAGCCGAAGCTACAACACGAACAATGTGAACAATACCATCAAGTCAAAGTTAAACTTGAACCCGACCCGTAGAGAAGTTGAATCATCGAATGTGACGATGAAACAACCATACACAAGATGAAAACATTAAATGATCAAAAATCAACGAGTAATTCGAGGATATAAAAGTTTAGTAACCGCGCGTTAGAGACGACTTTATAATTATCCCCGCTTGAGATGATTGATATACGATTTATTTCCCACGCGCCACGGCAAGCGGTCCTGCATGCGCTAGAGACGGGCGGATGAAGCTTCGGCGGCGGGTTCTAGGAAAATTTATCGCCAACATTATTACTTCGATACGTACGCGCGCGCGACTAGAAAATCGCGAATATTCATCTCGACGAAGATCTCATAAACGCAGCCAAGCAAGTGCGCACGCTGGCCAATGTGTGCGTGGCGGATGAGTGTGTGATATATTTAGATGAATGTTGCATCTTTAACATGTTTAAGCGCACACCGCGTCGCCCAAAACATACAAGTATAAGATTCAAGTGTATACAGCAGCGCCATGGGACAGTATGTATCCCAAAAATTTGCTGCATCCAAAACAAACATTCTAGAATCATTAAAGTGTCATGATTGTAGATAAAACTTTAAATATATGATGGAAAAATTAAAGTTTCGAAAGATTGCCATTAGAAACCGCAACTAAAGGTACAAATTTGAATTTATTTCCATCGCTAATTTTCCTAAACCATCCGTAGAGCAATAATGTGAAAAGCTTGCCAAAAACTCACGCCATGACTAAGAAACTCTACTAAATTTCGAGCTATTTACCGAGAGTTTCGCGTACAAACTTGGAGCCTAAACGATGTGTTGTGCAGCTTTCGGGACGATGAAACGTAAATGAAAACAAATGAATTTCCTTCCAAAAACTTCCAGTATATTTCCGTGCGTTAGGTGGACATTAGTGTTAGTTAGCTGGCCGAATGGAAGAATGAAACTAAATAAAAACAGATTAGACGATGGAACGATGAGCGGCGCGAGATAAATCACGAATATAACGACGCGCTTTGTTCTCGTTAAATTGTGCTGGCATTAACGCCCATTTGACTTCAATTAGAAAGAAAAACTATTCCGAAAACTAAATGTAACTAATCTCAAATGCATTGCAATTTTCTGTATGCATTTATCTTTAAGACTTTCTTTTCGAAATTGTGATGTAAAAAATGATTCATTGTTACATATTGTTTGAACGCAAACGCTTAGTCGAGTATAATGTTAAAAGTTGCGTTAATCACTTTGTATGCATCTCGAGGTAATAGGAAAAGCGTTTCTACGTTTCCGTTGCGTTTTATGTGCCTTAGCAGTGTAAATATACTGGCAAGTGAGGAAATCAAAGTTACTCAATTGCTTAATCGCACAATCGGCAAAAAGGGAAAATTGCTAAACGCACACCAACAACAAAAATGCAGTGAACGCAAATAACATACATTAGTAGTGGAGTGCATATTACGTCCGCCCGCGTGTACGATGAGCGGTTTCTAAATTTCGAAATCTAGTGCTGCACCAAACTTGTTCGATTCCGCGAAACTTAATAGAGCAAAGGCAGGCGTAAACGATGAGTGTAAAAAACGCAAGCGTAAACACAAACAACATCCTGCATTTTTAATTGGCATGCATTCATTCATTCATTCGAGGCTCAGTTGCGAACTGGTTCATTATTCCTCCAATTCCTCCAATTAACAAAGTTTACTCGAATTTGCCACTGTCTTATTCTCATCATAATATACGCCCTAGCTGTTCTTTAGGTTCAACAATTTTACGAGTAGAATAATTTATACACGTTTAGAGAAACTACCACACATTTTATAGTTCTTAACACTCTGTTAAACGTCTAATTTTATGTTAATTAAAGCCTCACTCGACTCGCAGATTAAACTATGTTTTCGTCTTTGCTTTAACGCTCGAGAAGACAGCGAGTTAGTTGATTGTATTGCGAACGCAACGCGCACGCGGATAATCACCGAGGGAGCAACCGCATGTAATGACCGACGAATTATAAAAGCTACGAGAGCAAATATTAGTACTCTAATTGTAACAAGAGAGAATCTGTGAAATCGAATTGTAAACCCACACTACAGCAATTTAGATAAAAGCTTTAAATTGAAAGGAAAAACAAAAATTCGAACAAAATGCAAATTTTGTAATTTTCTAATTCGCCATTCTACAAGATGTAAATTACACGTTAGAACGTTTAACTTGACTTGTTGATTCATGAATTATTAGAAGCTTTCAATTTTTAATTAAGGCTTTAGTCTAATCGACCACCAATCAGAACCGTCTTAATTTTAAAACTTTTAATTTTATTTTCAATAAGAAACCGGGGAAAACCTCCAAGTACTACTTCTCAAGATTTTGTAAGGTTATTGATGTGTTGATTGGCCTCTTGCATGTGCAATCTAATCGGGCGTGTGTAAACCGTTTACAATAACAACTTAATCGCTTGTTTCACCACATCGAAAGAGCTGCTTAGTAGCTAAGCACTCTCTCGCCGACTGTCTGAACGTGAAGTCGAGCAGTCGCAGCACAACCGGCAATCATTCGGTGGTATTTAATGAATTATTACGAACGCCTTCTCGGAACGGATACGACATAATAATTCACTTTCTTGATCACAATAAATAATTTCCCCACGTGAAACCAGATCGCACGAGTTTGTACATTATATGCATGTATGTGGTTGTTGCTGAACACACAAACATTGTTTCCAGCTCTTATTATCCTGCGGCCCAGCCGGGGCACACATTATTCAAATCCTTGGACCGGTCGCCGGTCTTACATGTGCGCCCGCTATCTAACAAAACAATCAGTTATTATAAATGGCACTGTTGCTCTATTACCATGATTATCGTGGCATTACTCTGTGTATATGGCCAATTAAACGTCTCGTGCATTGTGAAACACAAGCAGTTTCTGAATTCCGCGATGTTTATTGTGGCTTAATCGCCTTGTAATCGATGTTGTTTTTCGTCGAAAACATAGGAATTCCTGCCCGGTTATAATCCGTAACAATCGCAAATCTTAATTTATTGTCAGCTTATAACTTTTATGACGCCCATGGCGTCGTACTCGCCACGCAAGAATAATTTAAAATGGCGTGAAATAGTCATAAAAATCCTACCTGTACGTCGAAGTTGTGCTGCTGCTGTTGCAAGACGGCGCTGTCGACCTGGTGAGGCTGTGGTGGTGGTGGCGCTGCGTACTGATGTTGTTCATACGGCGGTGGCGGTTGATCCCCAAAATGCTCAAACTGCTGATTGACCGACTCGGCGAGGGTAACGCCGAGATGCGGTGCAAGATGTTGTTGCAAGTGTTGCTGATGTTGCAGATGCGGTGGCAGTTGATCGGGCTTGAGTATCACAACGCCTTGCTCTAGCTGCAAGCCGTTCTTACTCAAATCATCTTCGGCCGGCGACGGTTGGCGGCTGCCGGGCGTTCGGCTGTAATAACAATACCAACAAAAAATAAATATGCGATTGTGACAAGCTTCACAAAACGACATCGCTTGCGCCACCTAACGGCGAGCAGGAGAAGTGTTGTATTAACGCGAGTAGGTCACCGAGCATAGAAACTTGTTACGACAGTGGACCGAAGGTGGCGCTGGCTGTTTACAATCAGCAGGAACTACAAGTGGGGCAGCGCGCAGGAACAGTGGGAGTGCGATTGCCTTGGCAACCAGCGCACACACGCGAGAAAACACGAGAGCACGCACATGTCATTGACTTCGGGCAAGGTAGACGCGCGGAACCTTGAACGGATAGAGCGATCGCGCTGCCGCCGTCAAGGTGGGACCGAGCAACGCTGACGGAATGCACATTTCAATGCTGTTCTCGCTGCTGGCGCCCTGGAATTAAATCACGGTCTGGAGATGTGGCGCAAATTTGTCGCACATCCTCGAATCAATCCGTTCTCATCAACGCTTCTGCCTTGCCGCCCGCAATCGTCGCGATCACAAATCCAACGTTATATCCCTGTGGATTAACGATAATTAGTTAACGAGTCACATACTAGCAGCAGCAGCAGGGCGCGTTACATCCAGATTCTACTACTGTGCAGCAGCGCACAGAGAACCACAATCGTATCAATGCTTTTAACTTGTTGTTTTATAATTAGGCAGTTTATGTGCAACACATAATTAGTTGAGTACTTCCGTCCTGCTGACTGAACCCAAGTGTACTTCAGACCGATCAACTCTACTTTAACATAGTTTTATTGCAAAATTGGACGAATAATAAGCAATAGAAGCCGAAAACTGACAGAAAAGAGTGTTCAGCAAAGTTACACAATTTGTAACTAAAACAAAGCAGAAATTAACACCTTTACCAGAAATAACATCACAGCAACCCGAATTATTACAAAATATTGCGCCACCGTTTGTCAAAATGCCGCTAACACAGATTTGGTGATATTATTCACAAATTCGTCCAATATCATTTCCAACAGCCAAACACCCCACTATATATTACGTTGTGCATTTGCGTATTTACGTGTTTATTTCGCAGGCGGGCAATAAATTCACTCTGAGGATGCGTGCATGCACAGCAGCCGGGACGGTTACTCTTTTATTTAGGGGCCGGGTCACCACCCGCCGCCTATTACCGTAATGCAAGCGCGAATTGTGTTGCCTTGGAAGTCTGCTGTGCGCGTTGCCTTGCTAGCTTCTCTCATCTCCTTCCCGCACCGCAGAATTTTCTTGCATGCAGTAGCAGCATGCCGAAACGCACAGCACCGCCACCGCCTCCACTATAAAATACATGGCAGAGTAGCACCGAGTGTGCCGTTCGTTTAACCGGGCGTGCGGGGCGAAAATTACGCGCAATGCACCAAAAACCGCAATATGGGGCAATATACATTCGAGAGAGTGACACACCACGCAAAGCTAACATCATGATAGAAGAAAAAAAGGCGGCCACTGCCGCTACGTTATGAGCGCGTGTTAAATTTTAAATCCGAATAAAAAGAAAAAAAAATGAACTCAAACACTTTCCTAAATTTTTGTTTAAACAAAACGAAAAAAGAATATCATTAAACAAAATACTAGGGTTTTAAAGAGGAACTTATATAATATCAGCAGTGAAATTGCGTGACGACGAGAAATAACATCTCCTTGGGACGCACAACAAACAAATAAAAAAAAATAAAGAAAGTTGCGTCGATAAAAAATAACAATGTACGAATTCATTTCAATGTTTCGTTCAGCTAATGTTTCCTTTGTTATACTGAATATGACGATTGTCGCTGAACATGGAAAACGATGATAAAATTAAGTCTACCAAACGTAAAAATGAAAATACTAACTATACTACATCTCCCAACGATACGCGATACACTTAACCTCCAAGCATGATAATATGATCATATGAGTCCATATTTCAGCGTTGAATAATTAGCGTAACAACACACGCCAGCGTTCTAGCAATATATCCTATTTATAGTAATATTCATTAGCCTTAATAGTATGCGCCGACCGCAGGACCTACACACTCACACGTCCGCAGCACCCGTGTTCTTTATATAATGCGCGTCCAAGGTTATCGGTTAGCCGAGCAAGAGACAAGCAGCAGCAGGTACGGCACCGCACTTGCTCGCGCTCGTCGTTCGCGCCGTTCTCGTGTTTCCCTGCAGCGTCAGCAGTCAGCACTCCACTCCGCAAGAGCAGCTGGTTATCGGCGAAACGAGCATCCGGCATGGTCAACTGCAACACGACGCGCCCGGCACGAGAAGACACGTCTTTGTTGCAGGCCTTGCAGGGTGATAAAATGATAAAATTCGATGATATAAATTCGTGGTCGAGGTGCCGACCGAGGTGCAATCGGATATAAAACGCAACGGCAATAAATTCCAACTTTCCAAGCAGGGGAGTAGACTAGAGAGTTCGAGCCATGACCAAGTGATGCGGGAAGCGGGATGAAACGAGAGGTGTAGCTCACTTGGCCTAGGGCATGGACCGTGGGACTATAAATTCACAAAGTTTAGGAGTTAATGCAGGAGACGTCCGCCTTAAAGAAGAGCCACGCCACCGCCGCCAACCGCACGAACGTGGCAAGTGAAAAGCAAAACCGCCTTTTCGGCAGTGGGCTTTCAGGATCCATTCAATTTCGGATAAAATTCAATGAAGCACGCGACTGGACTTTTCATTGCCTATTTCCTATCCTGCTAATGCCCGGAACCGCCGCGGTCGTCATGTGTGCACGCGACGGGCGGGAAAAACGAGAAGAAATTAATACTTACTTAAATCCCTTGCCGTCCTCGTCGTTCTGCCCGACTTGTCCGTTCTGCACGGCGACCTGTCCGTTTACCACCACACCACCGCCATCGTCCTTTGGACTAGCAGGCTTGTTATCCTTATCGTTCTTATCGTCCAGGTGTAGTGCTCGCATACGCGGCTCGAGGCTATCCTTGTTGGTCGGAGATGTACCCAGCACGTACTCAACCATCTTTACGCCCAATGTGGGCTGCGTGTCGCTACCGCGTGGGGATAGTATGCTCGCATCGCCGCCACCCCCGACACCACCGGGATAGCCACCGCGGCGACCCAAACCAAGTGGAGCAGTAACAGAATGATCTGGAAGAAATATACATCAATTAGTGTGGCGCCAAAGTGCTTCAAACCCTTGAAATGAATAGATGGAAATCGGATGCTTGAAGGGAAAGTGTTAATTAACTTTTGAATTACAGATTGCTAAAAGTTTGTCACTGGTCGACGCCGAACAACAGTCTAATGCGTAATCATTAATAACCCCATCGACAAAGCACGACGTGCGTCGCAGACGAGGGCATCCAACCCTATTCCAGGCGCTTTACAATCTCATCACCCTTGCTTTCCGCCGTCCTGAGCGCGGACCAGAATGCCGCATCACAGTCCTCTCTTTATCGGCCCGCCAGTCGTTCATTTCTATCAACCCGCAACTCCTCTTTTCCCGCAAGCTCACATTTCCTCATTCTTCATCATGCCAACCCGTTCTTCCCTGCAGTAGGATCGTCGTCCCATCATTCTGCAGAATGATAAAATGATAATCATGCACTTTGTCAGTGTTTTGTGTCGGCGTCCTTCGGACGAGCAATCTGCTCGACATTTATTAATGCCCACCATCCGAGAGTCACCTAACAAACGCCCTCAAGTCTACATTGTCGACTTTGTCCCGAAATGCGCTTGGGAGTCTTCACAACAACATATCCTGCATCCGCAAGCCATTACGCCGCGCATGAGTACCGACCACCGAGTACAAAACACTACAAAATCGAGAACATACTAAAGTCGTTGGATAACTTCTTTGTTGAATTCTTATCCCGCGAAATAATACGTCCCGAGGGAGTGCGAGGACGTCGACATTATCGCTCGCATTACACGCCGTACGGCGGCATCCGTGCAAACACAGTGGCGAGACAGATGGGCGACGCACGACGACATCGCAACCCCAATCGGACCACACGTAATCTCTATCTTTGCGTAGTATTGCCGGCAATCAACACTAACGCGGAAAAGACGAACCCAACAAATAGAATGTAAGGAAACAAAATGGCCCTAGCACAAATGAAAGGAAGCAAAATAAAGACGGAACGCGACGAGAATCTAGGAATTGGAATAAGAATAGATTTTTTCCGGGACGTAAATAAATGAGAATTGACGACCGAAATGAGAACCGACGGAAACAAACAAAAAACCAATGAAAACAAAAAAAAACGCAGAACAGACAATACATCAAGTATACAATCGGAAATTCGATTTGTTACTGCTCCAAATGATCAGAATGACTTCAAAAAGATGGCAGATACTTGGCACGATTCATTTCTCGTCACTAATATCTAATGACACTAATGACCATTGATTTTCCATTCAGTTTATGTATTTATATTTAATAACTTGACTAATTTAGCTTATTAATAAAACACGCCGCAAACATTCCTAAATATGCGCATAGTCAATGCTAGTTGTAAAATATTTAATCGAATTTCACTGGAAGCGATATTAAAAGAATCTAACGCGTGTCATTTTCGGTTTGTCAAAAACGTGTCGTTGAGTTGTAGGTGTAGACATCCCATCAAAGCTGCCTGCCTGCCACTGGTGGTCTATCGATAAAATAATTTGTTCGCTCATTCGCTCGACGAACGATTCGATCGTTCACGACGTTCATAAAGAATTTGTCATATCGGCGCTCTGGCGCGCAGCAAACCTTTAAAATGTAACGATTTCCCGCGCCCGACGCGTAATATATTAACCGTGACCTCGTATTCGAAATTAAATCACATCATTTTTGCTGCAAACGAATATAATATTGAATGTATAAAACAGTCGCCGTAATTTATGCCAAAGAAGCAATTTCATACAAAACACACCCCTTTGAATATAACGCCTATTAAACGGCGTAACAAAGAATTATTAATATTTCACGAGTTGACTTTGCATTGAAACACACATTAAGATGAATTAATTGCTTTCGCTCGCCGGGTCGAGTCATTGCTCTTGTTATCATCGTCTGGATTTTGCCGCGTGATTCAGTAATTTTTCTCCCCTTACGCTACACACATCTTCGCCACGCGCAAATGTATGCAGAGTGAAACGAGCAAGAGCATCACCAATACAATAAAGTGTACGCCATACAAAACTTAATATCGCGTTGTATTATTTTAAATTGTATTAAGCAAGCATGAAATTCACGTTTGCGCGCGCGCACGCTTAACAATTCAATCACATTTTATTGTTTTTGCAATAAAGGCGTGCATGCTGAAGATGGAGCGGACGAAAAAAGAAAATCGATGTTTTCGGAAGCGATAAAATTTAACGGATGAGCGACGAATGAATGAACGTCGTTCGAACAACGACCGCTTGGCCGATTTCGCGAGCGCGCGATGAGCACAGCACATTTTGTAGGTTTCGTGGATTTCGGGGCGTTGGCATGCCAACGCGCGCAAAATAAATAAGATAATATTTACGCTCCGGCAATACATTCACAAAGTTTGTAACATTGATTTCGCTTGCATTAACTTAACTAGAAACGTAAAACAAAAATAAATTATGTTCAAAATTCAAACGAAAAAAATGATCGAACCAAACAGGATCTATATAGACTGTACTGTTCCAGCAAGTAGTAATTTCGGTAAATCAAATTTCATGCCTTGTTTGACTTTATTCGTTGTTGTTTGTACTTGTTTGTTTGTTCAGTGTTCGGCCCGGTTCTCGGTAATTTTGGCCAAAAGCTGCAAAATTCCAGTGCAAAACGTTAAATATGTAAAACATAAATTTGCAAGTTAATTGCCAGCGATTCACCCGCCCGCTCACGAAAGCACTAACTAACTCTTCCTCAACAGCGTTGGCCGTGCTGGCTGGCTTACAAGCACAAACAGATACTTGGCAGTGCTCGTATTTGAATATTTTGATATTAAATTCAATTAGTATCCGATTCGCAATTTGGGGCGGCAATGACTTCTTCCCGGTTTGCGGCACATTCAACCAAGCCTAAACACGCGCGGCGCGTGCGATGCGCGACAACTTCCGGCATTAGTATTCAAGGTACTGCCCGCGTTTTCACTCTATGCCACAAGCTGCACGTAGGGCCAGCCGGCAAAACGTGCAAAACAGACAAAAGAGGCAGCAAAAATCCCAGAGGCCGCATTTCGCTCGCTCGAAAGCCATCCAAATGCACTGCCATCTTTGTCAAATATGCTGCCCCACGTGTTTCATGTTTCACAGAGACGAGAGATGGGCGGTAATTAGAATTAAAAATTCATTTGATTAATTATTTCGCGGCTACGTGCGGTCATAAAACGACGCCACGTGAGCACGTGTGCGGAGGCTGGTTCACAGCAGCACATGAATTGAACGAGCGGGGCCGGCAGGTGGTGGTTCTCTGCGATTCCAGCTCGACTAACTGCCACAGAGCGGCAGCAAGCCGACGAGGCGAGAGCCAGCAAGCCGAAAAGTGCGTCGGCGATTTTTCCGCTAACCGCCAACAAGCGATGACCCGCCTGACATTACACGGTTTCCGGTTTCGTCACACCGCTGCGACTTGAACACGAGTATTACATGTTCATGTTTACGACCTACATGGACGACAACTTGCGCAGGAAAAGCTTTTATGATCGGGTTTCCATCGGCTGTTGCCAGGATATAGAGTGTATGGCGCATAGAAATATGGATCCGTGAACGTTGCCTGCGCGTCAGGTATTTTCTGATGTGTTTCACTCTGGTCGCGTGGGCCTTTCGAAGAAGGATGAGCAAGTGTAGTGTGCGAGTGTGTAATTGAATATTGCATGTGGTGCTTTTGTGGTTTTACTGGTTTTGCTTAGTTCGTGCGGTGAATTCCATGTACACTGAACTAATATTGCATCAAGATGGCTAGATAGTCCCCGACACGAGAAGAGCAAAAGATGAAAGACACGATTGAATCGCATGATGATAATAGAAACATGAAAATGCAATAGCAGTGCATTCAGAAATGATTCCATCATGTCAGCTAAATTAAAACTATTGATATTTAGCAGCTGTTTCATTTTGGCACTTTATTAAATTGAAACAATTAAAATATGTGTTTATATTAACCATGTTTGTGAAAAACAACGTTGATAGATGTATGCGGATGGGCGTGCCGGGCGTCGACTGCGGCCGGCGGCGGCGGCGTCGGTGTTGAGGCGGTCGGGGTGCGCGCGTGTTCCGGGCTCGCGTCGCCATGGCCACGTTGGCGTCTGTCGCCCGGGCAACCACCCGGCCGAATTCAATCAGTCGACGGTCGGCCCCGAACGAAACGCGCCCGCCGCCGCCGCCGTTGACGCACACACGCATACACCACACCCTCTCGCTTGCTGCGGCGATTGCGTCTTCGACACACAACACACACCTACTCTTCTCTAACACACGCATACCGAGCGAGTTTTGCCTGGCTATTGCTCATTTAAACTTTAACAAACGGTACGCGCGGGAAACAAAACGAGGAAGAGCGCAAGCGGATCGCCGAATGCGGCGCAGCGGAAGCGATGTCAGGGCCAGGGAATAAAATTTCGGACCACCGCGACAGGGCGGCAAACAAAAACGTCGAGCCGCCTCGCTGCTGCAATCGAATCCACAAAGTGACAAAGCGATACGAGATTTGTAATCAGTGCTGCTGCGCTTTCCGCACCTTCAAATTTCATTCAATTACAATGCTAACACTGTGTTTCGATTGGATTCACACACGAACCTGATGACTGAAAATTTATTTCATCACACTGGCAGTCACATTATCACCTAATGAACGCCAGGATATCAGAATTGATACAAATGCATGATTTGCATTTTCTGATTTAGAGCATTTGCGATGCAATATAATACACAATTGAAAGGAATATCAAAATTCGTTGAGGATGATAATTCGAAAATCAACATCCCGGAACTCGTTGCCGCTTTGCCAAGAATGCGCCCGACTGGAATTTCCGCGAACGTTTAAATTACTCCCACAGCCAAATCTATGACCAGAGCTGAATTGAAACCCAAGCAAATGGTGGGCCAACCAAGTGTAGGAAAATTACGATTCCCAGTTTTGGTTCGAATTTTCATCGTTTTCGGCGCCGCGTAAACACAACATGCGTCGCATTCAATATTCAATTTTCCCCCCTCGAAATTTCGCCCCCCCTGCTCATTTCCACGTTGTCCAATGAATACACCCACACAGAGAAAATCGCATTGTTGTTGATTTTCCATTTCTCCATTTCATTCTTCATGGCATCCATGGTGATTCCTCTAGAACGCGTGTGTTATTGCTTTTCGTTTACGCTATGCGCTTGTCGGTAGAATTAATTGTTATTGCTAAGCGCGCGCGACCATAAATATCCGTTTGCCTTTGGCACCCATTGACAAAGAGGCGCGCTGTGGTAACCGGCTCCTGCTGCTGCTGGCTGGTAGCAGCGCATACGAACGTTATACGTTTCGCGACGCGTATCGAACAGATGTCATTATTTAATGCGTGCGGCGAATTGTACGACACCGCACTTTACTCGGCGACGCAGAGAGACGCCGAGGACGCGCGACGAGAGATAAATAGACCGCAGAAACGCAAATGGAAATCGCCGTAAATTAATGACAGTGAAAGTCTGATATAGATGGTTTATGGCGTACAAATTGCAGAATGTCAGTAGGAAAATGACACAGAAAAATCAATATCAGTTATATTCGACTAATCATATATAACTCGATAATGGTTCAAAACTAAAAATTACTACTCACTAAAGTGACATTGCGGTTGTTGAACATGCAATACTTGTTGCTAAATAATAAACTTGTCAAAATAACAGCGTGCGAAGTAATTATACAGCATTGAATTATGCGCGTAGTTTAAAATTCGTCACACGATCGGTTCGTCCATCACGAACACAGTCCGCTCAGCCAGCTTTGGTATACATCGGTCATATTTGCATTACAAAGTTGTTGCGCAAGTTTGCGCTTTTGCATGCGGTGATCCAACCTGTATGCAAAAGGACGTTCAACAAGGCACTAATCGTTATCGCATTACCAATCATCCGGACGGCTGGATCTGCGGATATTAATTAATTACAAACGGCGAGCGCTTTGACCCTGCTGCTGCTGCGCATTGCCAAAATGGCCAACATTCGAGCGAATCCCACACGGATGGGATGGCTAATACCCGAGTGCCAAATGGCTGAATGCAGGAAAATGTAGATAAACGCATTACGGGTCGTTATTTAAGCGAGAACGCTCGGATTTTCGGCTTGCGCGCTTGGAATTTGAGTTTTCTCCACCAGCGTGCGACTGTAAATAATGTAAAACCTCGATGCATACAAATCGGCTATATTTTGACGACGATTTACAACGCAATTTACATTTGTCTAGCCTTTTTCGTGTTGATTTTTAAATTTGCCTTAATCTTTGCATAATTTTAGAGAAAACTGTAAAGCATGTGGAGGATATATTAATGTCGAAAAGTTCAGCGCAAACTTTTTCGATGAGCAGCTCTCGAGCTCGTCAACAGCGCACTTAGCATAATATTCGATTAAACTTTTAAACAACTACGTAAACAACGAAGTCTGTGCGGCAACGCCGCCCCGTTTCCTATTACATCACTCTTTTCAAGAGGGCGCACATACGCATTTGCCTCCGGCAGCGGCACCTTCGCTTCGGGGAACATCTCGAAGGAAGATAATTGCACAAATTCGGAAACAAAAGGAGAGTTTAATTGCATTTCGTAAATTTAATTAAAGAAATTTATTTTCTTCTAACGTAGACGCAGTAGAGGACTACCGACAGATGCCCATTGCGGTGGAAAATACCAATTGAAAATGCTCAAAACGAATAGCAAGAAAACTCATTTAAGGAAATTTCAGCAACAGTAATGACTTAATTTTTTTTTTCATATTTACCTGGAGCCCATGTGTGATCCCGCCAAACACCCTCATGTGTAAGCGGATGAAGTGTCAGGTTCTTTCCGTCTTTTCCTTCTAAACCCCATATTTTCTTAGCCGATGGAGCAATCTGCAACAACAAAAAACCAGACAAATTAATCAACGTGAATTAATTTGAAACATTTACGAATATCAGTAAAACTCAAGTATCAAACACGTTGAAAGTTTGCGGAAAGTTGGAAAGTGTCGCAATAAAAGGCAAACATTGACGACACCTGCTAGAAAACCGATGAGTCTTCATAATGCGACACAATTAGCGTTAAACAAAAAAGACGTAAAACGCAAATTAAGTAAAATAACATTTTAACCATTTTAGCGGAGATGTTGCGCATTCGGGTGCAGCTGCATTTCGTAATGCACTTTATTAAAAATTATTATTCCGATAGTGGCCCTACTGTCGCGTACGGTGGCGCTATTATTATCAATTAGATTTAATTGTACGTTCTAATGGTAATGGCGGTCATACATTACAAACGAAATCTAGCGCCAAACGTGAGGCGGCATGGCGGCGTAGGTACATACAAAGCGCGACGCAAAATAGCCATACATAAAGTGGCAGAAATGCTTCCGAAGTCACTGAAATCGACTGGGCGCACAAAGGAAACCGACAGAATGCAGACAAATAGAAATGTTATTTTCAGATTGTTTGCGATTGTGCACAGAAAATCAACATGTAAAATGCAACAACACAAACCGGAGAAATAACAACCGATGGAAACGTGAATTCAAGCAACTGAAATCGATTATTAAAAGGATTTCTTCTTTCATTGTGTGTTATGTGCAGTTATGGCATTCTGATTCCAAGCGACACAATAGGATCGAATGGAATTAAGTTTTAATTAATTTATATTTACCGATAAATGAATAATGTAAAAATGCGGTGACAAAGAAACCTTGGCTGATCAAAAATTACCCCGATCCAAAACCTACAATTCCATCCTCTATCCTCACCATTCCTTTATTGATCGAAAACATAAAATGAATATTACATGCATAATAGCACATAAAAACTCAATATTAAACAACATTATCATAATGCCATGCTGTTTCTATTACTATTACATTATACGATGCGGAGAAATAAAAGCAATGTAAATTCCAGCTACAATCCACACGATCCCAATCAAGCATAATGAAATTGGGAACAAACAGTAAAATGAAAACTGCACCTGACAGCGTGCAAATTGAAATTTTGATGCTGTTCATGCACCGTTTAAAACTATTAATTATGAAATTTCTTAATCAACAATTAAGCACACGAAAACTGTATCGATTTTCCAAAACTTTGGAAGGCAAAATACCGAGGGGTGGTTGTTATATTAAAATGCCACGCAGACATTAGCATATCCGCATTATACTCGAAAGCGTTTGGGTCGCACCCTGCCTGCTCCCACAGGAGAAGGAATATTGTTAATATTAGGGTTCGCGTCTATAGACGCACTCACAACAAACCCCGTCCAATACATCCTAAGTATACAAAACTATCAAAACTGACATTTCAATATGATGCTGCGTAACCGATGAATAAAAATACTGCATGTTGTAAATATTATGCACACAACACTTGGTATATAATCCACCCGATAATTTAGTCTGAAGAGTATTGGTGGAATATTTCAACGACGGGTGGAAGTAAGTGAAGCATTTCAGTGCATATTCAATATCGGTAAAGGGAACCGTTCTCCGCTTGGGGTTTATCTGCGCGCTCCAGAGTGGCTAGTATGGCTTTGGAGAGCGCAATGACCAATCGAGGGTTGGTCAAGAGTGGAACACGGGTCTGGAAGCAAAATGATAGGTGCCCAACGAAGGAAACGACACTTGTACTTGTAACAAGCACCAACGACACAAACATGAAGATTGGGGTATGACAGAACAGACAACAAGAGAATACTAATACAAAAATACAACATGAGGGTTCAAAATAAGAAATCGACTGCCACGAAAATTGTATCAATACAAGGAATTCCTTTCTGTTTAATTCCCAGAGTAGTTTATCAAAGTTAAAAGTTACTTTTGCAAAGACTGAAATGGAAAGAGTTTGCTTAAAACGTTTCGCTTCGTATCGTTTCCAAGCTAAGTTATTTCCTCCTCGAAGGAAGTAACCTTCAGAATAACAGGCAGGATGCTGGTGCCAACCTGGGTCGATATCCCTATCGCTGCATTTCGCCACCCAGGGCACACCCTCCGCACCCTCACACACACGACAAGCAACAAACTCCTGTTTTAAACCTTTCCACTTCACTTCAGCGGTCCTAGTTAGACACCCAACTTGTCTCGCAGCCATTTTAATCATTTCAACACAAATTCAACGCGAATCCAACTCGGATCGTGAAAGTGATATAACTTACGTGAAGGTAAAACAAACCGACAACACGAGTAAATACATGCACACACGTCGCAAACAAATATACTAATGGCCTGCCGAATGGCACATCATGCGAATTAGGAAGCTGTCGCACCAGGATCAACTATTTCAAACAGACAACCACAAATAGACACTGCGAAACGTTTTAGCGCGCTCTGCGAGGAATTTAAACGCGCTGATAATCTACCCTCTAAACAGGACAAAACATGTCCAAATAATAAATCCCTCTCTACCTCAATGTACAAAGTACAAATGACCTAGATACTAACGTATTACCATCAATTGAGTAATGGCGAACCGAAGACCGAGACCATAAATTCGCATTTCTATTTAAATCCCATCAATATTAAAACAAATAAACGCAAGTACTGAAGCAGAGGAATACAAGTTAATTCCTTCGGGAGGGAATACAGGCGAGCCAGAAAAAACACAAAATAACAAACGAAAATCTTTCCATCCTTCCAGCAAAAGCAATTCATCATTTTTCCCCGGCAAAGAATTACTTTTGTTCCGAGTCGGGTTTAGGAGCAGAGCTTTTCTCGCCACCGCTACCAAACAGAAGAAAAAAGCGGACCGCTCACTAATCGTCCATCGTAAATATTAACGCATGGACGTGCTATATCCTATTTTGTAGTAACAAACAAAAATACGAAACTATTGTTTTTAAAATAGGACTATATAAACAGAGTTTAAGCTGAGTTTGGCAAAAGGTAAATCAAAACAAACGATAAACTAATCTAACTAACTTTAAAATGCACCCATAGTGCGCGAGTTGTTTTCGTGATGAATTAATGGTCGCGTTGCTCGAGTGCTGTATGATGCACAACCAGCGCCAAGCTAGACAAAGTTTCAAGTGTGTGATTAATTAGTTTCACGCCTTTGTGGAAAGGCTTCCTTTTCGTTGTTTTCCGTTGTTGTACTTGGCGTCAAAACCAAGTGTTTTCGCAGGAAAACCACGGAATCAAATTTAGCTTACATATGAAGTACTATTTTATCAACATCTTAGCTTTAATCTAAATAAAACGCTTTCGAATCTTACATTCAATAATAACAATGAGATGATTGATTTTGCATTTCGTTCATAGTTATGCCACTCTCGAAAAATAAACTATAGCCTCGTATTACTTTGGAGAAATACGTGCGACCCGTTAAAAATCAATTTATCAGCTGAAATTCGAGTTGGCAGTTTGTTTACGCTGTGTTTGTTTAAGGTTTCCGAGGCACTCGGCCACTCAGCTCGACGCGCGGAAAATCCGCGAACGCATCGCTGCGATCGGACGTAAGCTCACGCTCGAACGACGAACCCGAAGCAAGGCGAAGAGTAAATGAAAAGCGTGCGCGCGGCGCGGAAAGCTTCGGAAATCGTAGGAGACGAGCCGCAGACAGAGTAGGTTAGCGTCTCGCAGTGTTTCCTACAGCGATCGCTAAAATCGCAAGCATTTTTTCTCTCACTCTTCCAGCAGGAAAGCCGAAACCTATAACTACAAAGCCGAAGCCCGTACAACGCATAATCTTCGCTTTATTCCGACCGACGGCAAACCATAATATTCTCTATTATCGAATGAAGAAGCGCGCGTGAATAGGCGAAGTGGGGTAATATGAGTCAATCCTGTTGTGCGTCTTCATTTTTTCTCCAGATTTTACCATACGTTTTTTAGCTATTTGGTATCTTGGAAAGTCAAGAAGACTTCATATTTTTGCTACAAACGCAAGTACATAAACGACATTGACGATGGCGACGCGAATGAGGAAATTGAAAATGTGCCAGCAAATCAGTGCAAAAACAAATCAGCTTATAAAAATGGAAATTGGAAAAAACAGACGTGCTGTAAATGGAATTTGTAAAATCAAAAACAATCTGCATTTTATTTTTAATTTATAAATGCTCAGATGTAATGGAGATGTTAAGTATCACTTTTCATTTTATCTCACCATGAATCCAAACAGTTTGCGCTTGTTCAGGGCCATTTATTCAAGAATTTCGCAATTTTTCAGCGACAATACGCGGTACGCAATGGCAGGCGTAACTGAAGCATTGAAACTAAGCCGGCACTCCGAATTGCTCACTTTTGTGCAATCCGCATACAAACATGAGCTCCAAACAACCACGCCGAAATGGAACGCAAACAAATCTTTTTCCTCGTGTGCAAATATTAAATCATTCTGCTTGCGCGACGTTTTTCGAGCAAACACGTTAATGCAAGTCGAGTTCAACGCAAAAAATATATAACACGTTGATAATATAAAAATAAACACTGACACGAGACACTGGAGCAATAGATGCAATGAATTCCAGAAACTATAAAATAACATATTCTCTGTATTCTTTATAACACATCCTCGTCATGAATAATATAATGAGCTAAATAATTAATTGACTTGATTAGAAACTGCACGTCATAACTTCATACACAATTGATTGGTTTAATTAGACTCTTGTTATCGATCGCAAAAGCATTGTTCTGGTACTGTTCGATCAGCGGTTTATTCGAATCGTATTATGAATCAAATTTTAATTACGTGGTAAATAAATAACCAAAACACCTTGCTGGTGTTCCCATACTCCCCATTGCTCTCTCATCAGCGTAGGGTAGAATAAAAAAAAGTGAAAAACACTTTTAAACGTGTTATTTCTCGCGCCTTTTCCCATTTCCACCACGTTCCATATGTCTTTCACACTGCCGCTAGCTTACATTTTCGCTTCG